GCATTGCGCGCAGCGTATCGAGCGGCCGCGAATAATCGCGCTTTGTACATTCTGCAAAGAGCCGTCAATCTCTTCGTAGACTTCGGAAGACCACAAAGCGCAATTCGCGTGAATCCACTCATTCTGCCCGCAGTATAATAACCTAGCTTCTTGTTCAGGTAGGCCATCACCGATGCCTTTACACAGGTTGCATACTCGCGTGTCGATTGTTTCGATACTTTGGAAATCGTCGGGATATCCATCGATTTCAAAGTTATCGATATTTTTCGTCGTCTTACCTTCGTGATCTGCGGTTGTTTTGTTCAGGTCTTCTTTCACGGTAGGATCAAACCATGGTAGGACATTTTTGAGTATACAATGGTAAATTTCTAGAAGTTTTCCATCGGATGTTGACTGCAGCGCAGACTCCATACTTTCATTAAACTCATGTAAAGAAAAATATTCATTACAGTTGAGTTTGTTTTTGATTTCAACCATACGCGGTGAAATTGGAAGTTTGGAATCATTCAGAAACGATGCGCTCGTGTTCAAACTATCGCCAAAATCAAATTTGTTCTTAAACGTTGTTGCGTTGTCTTGTTCTAGTTCGGTTTCAATGACGTCGACGTCGTCCTGATTGGTTGGATTGTTCGCGTCGACGAATTGCAGCCGACGCGCAGATTGCAAATGGCCGTGTATGTGCACATGCGGGGTGGATGCCTTGAGCGGAGTGAGTTTAAACGCTTCACGCGCAATACGATTCTTACTCATCAGGCGTAGAATATTGTTGAGGCAGGAACGCAGTTCCTGTTGGACGGCGCTGCGCCAAAATGGAGTCGCATCCGTGCAGCAAAGACAACAAATGAATTCGACTGATTCGGGTAAAATACTGAGAATCTGGTAGTGTTCATCGCTGAGACCTTCGCATTTCGCGTGAACCCATTTATTACACTTGCCGCATTCCATCATCTATAAAATGTAAGCAAAATAATTAATTTTTAATGTAAATATTGGATAAAAATAGTTATATTACTTTTGTATCGAAGTCATTGTCGTCATAACAGCACTGACAAAGTGGACAAAAGTTTCCTTTATTCCGAAGTTTGAAACACGCTAAGCACAATGCTAAATTCCCGACGAATTTTGTAATATTATCAGTGCCACAACTTTTACATCGTAGACAATTTGAACAAACCTGAAAAAACATATTTTTTAAGAATAATTTTCACTTAAAAACACAAAAAAATCAACTTACAGTTGGTCTGTCGTCAGTCCTCCACTTATGATTGAAACATTGTGGATGATACGCCTTGTGACACTTTTGACAATGAATTTTCTGCTTGTCCGCCTCACCGCAAGCACTACACTTGGTGCATTTCGGACAAACCCACGAAAACCTCTGCTCGGGACGTTGAAATTTCGGCGGGCCTTGTTCCAGACAATACGGATGATACGGTTCGCAACATACGCAGCAATGAACCAATGTTTCTTTGCCAGCACTACCGCAAAGAAAGCAAATCGCGCGCATTGGAAACGCCTCCGTAGATATAACACCATAGCCATTACAGACGACTTCATCCGGGTCGTAATTCTCCCAAAAGTCTATATTCAACAGGTTGGGATTCTCCAACTGCGTGATTTTTTTACATTTCTTATTAAAGGACGGGTTTGTCTATGAAAAAACAAAGAAAATTACTAAATAATCACAAAAATGCATGAAAAACACTTACAATCTCCATTGGAAGCATGGAAATAGGCACTGGTTGCTGTGATTGTGGTTGTTTCGGCTTCTTTTCAACATCGAATATTACAGGCGGTGGTACAACAGGTTTCTCTGGTAATATTTCATTGTTTTCCTTCGGAATATCATGATTAACACACTGGACTTCTTCGGGTTTATCAATTGAATGAGACAATTCAATTTTAACATCTTTTTCTTTTGTTTTCTGTCGAATTTCCTCGATTTTATTGGTTTCTTCTTTACTTTCTTCGATTTTCAACGAGTTATTACTGCTCTCCACCGGGAAAGTCGCCGGCAACTGTCCCAAAACAATCGAAGCACTTCTACAAACATGTTTTACCCTCGGTCCTTTCATATCAACTTTCGCCCGTTTTATTTCAACCACGGGTGGCGCTGGTGTCTTCTCCGGTAATTTGACATTTTTAACGTTTTGTTTGTGTCGCACCGGACGTTGCCTCAAGTTTGTATTAATTTGTGTACTAGAAGGTGTACTCGGTGGTGACGTACACTCAACATTACTTGTAGTAGATGAAGAAGTAGAAGCTAATGGCGACAGAGATATTCTGGAAGAAATCGCACCAAACTCCTTCTCACCGTTTGGTGTAGATGTGGTTGCCTGCCACGACAACAATGGCAGCGAATTCGTCTCATTCGGTTGCATATACTTCGGCAATAACTGCGTTAAACTTGTTTTCAACGCCATAGGGATTTGAAAAGACCGCAGACATAACTTCAGCCAGCAGGCAGGACATCGACTGTTGTACTGCTGGTTGAATTTGTGCATCTGCGAGCGCACATTGGGCGGAACATGGCACAAGCCTTGTCCTTTAAGGCAATTCAACGTCGCGGTGGTGTTTGTGATCGTCGTCCGCTTTATAAGTTTCGAAATAAACTTTCTACAGGACTCACAACTAAATATATTAAACTTCCGCGCGTTTTTCACGAAACGGTAGAATCTAACCGCACCGCAAACTCCACAAGTGATTGTCCTCGGCGAAGACGACGTGGAGACCGAAAAAGGTCCTTCGGTACTCGTACCAAAAACTTTCGACGAGTTTAACTGCAATCTGGGTTGCCTAAGCAAGACTTTACCGTGTGCTAAACTCGTCGGACTGTCATTAGCCTTCCCATCGACTTTTTTAACTTCTGTCGTTATCAAATCGTCAGAATTGTTAATAATTTCGGCCTCATCAGCGAAAGTGACAGTTTTATTGATGTTACACTGTCGTTTGACGCGTTTTCGTATGATACGCGTGTCCTGCTCGAGGCTGATGAAGCGTTTATTGGGTTTTATCACCCTGGAAGAGTGCACGCTTCGACTTGGAAGGACAAATTTACCAACTTCACGCTCCTTTCGCTCTAAACGCTCGCGGCGTAAACTGCGATTCAATTGCGCGCCGCTGATTGATGTCCGGCGAGTTACTCGACTTCTTGTGAGAGGGCGTGGGTGGGGGCTGGTTGTCGCCAAAAGTCGTCCTCGCTTCTTGACAGGCGAACATTTCTTTTTCTTATTCGATGATAATTGCGTTCGCGTTCGACATACGCGTGTCGGACGTTTGTCGATTGTTTCATTTGTGGATGTTTTGAGATTTTCACTTGTTTTGTTGAGGTTGTCATTGATTGGCTGCAAAAGTAAAACAAAAAACAATTAAAATTTGTTTTTTAGTGAATATTTTTTAATGCCGGTCCTGTATGTTTAGGTGGTTAGAGTAAATAAACAAAACACCAACGCTTGATTCTTTTGTTTTCGTGTTTGTTTGGCGAGTTTTTTGAACGCGTGAAGAGACAAAACGCAAGGATACACGCGCCCAAGGTTACAAGTTTGGTGAGTGACGAGTTTCGTGAGTTCTGCGAGGGTTCTCGGCCTCCAAAACACGCGCGGTGACTAACTAAGAAGGCGCAGCGAATCGCAAATCGGCGAAATCAGACAAAAGCGAGTTGAGCGCGTCTCGGCTGTCTATGGTCAGGGACGTTCCACGTTCGCCCGCCCGCCGTACTAGCGCGCGGCGTCCAGTTACGCACTGCGTATTTGTATACTACTTGGACCAAAATAATGAAATTTACATAAACAGCGCTTACCTGCCGCTCCTCATCTTCGTCGAGCTCGTCGTCGACGCCGACGGCCACCACGCTTGGATTATTGTCACTCGCGGCGGCTGTGGCCCGATTGGTCGCATTGCCGTTGGTGCTTACCGCTCCTCCCGCAGCAGCTGCAGCGGCGGCAGCCGTGGCCGAGGCGATTCCGGCGGGCGCCGGCCCCGTCGCACTGTTCGTCGCCAGCACGTTCACGCGCGTCCGGTTGCCGTGCTTGGACGGCTTGCCGGGGAACTTCGATCGTCCCATTTTCGCACACCGCGGCGCACCAGAATCACATCGCACCTGCGTTCGCCCGGTCGCGCGGCGTCGCTCCTCGGCGTCGGCGGTCATAACAGCGTATGGCGTTCGCGGCACTCGCGGCACACGCATTCAAGCTTTGTATTGCGGACGATGCACGCGCACGCACTGCACTCGTTGTGTGTATCTTGTTTTGTGTCTAGGCGCGGGTCAGGCTTGTACGCCAAACGCCAACTGCTCGGCGCTGGAATGCGTTGCTATGGGCACGCGCACTCTCGCCAGGCGCGCTCGCTGAAATCTCGGCCAGCGGGCGGGCACAGAAACGCACAAAATGTTGAAAATGTCAAGCAGCGCCCTCTACAACAGAAAAACCTTCAATTTTACAACCTACGGCGTAATTTTACCCAAACAAAACATTAAAACGCCTAAAACACTTAAATATACTTGATTGAAACAATAATTTGTATCACTAAATATTATATGAATTCATTTTTGCATAAACAAATAATATTTCTACTATTTAACCGTCACACATCCCCCTGGCGACAAATTTGCGTACTACGTTAAAAATTTAAGAAAAATGTGCTAATGTCAAAGTAAAACAGCAATAACAACTTTGTTTATACAAATAACATTAAAAACATCTAATTAAATAAATAGTTTCATTACTTTGTTTTAAATAAGCGAAATACTTAAAATTTTTCTGATAAAAAGCGATTGTAATATAGGCAACCCAATAATCATCAAACCAGAAATAAACAAAGAGCTAAAAACATATATACTGGATGTTTCCGATACACTATCATCAGAAAAACGTATTTTTTTTTACTTAAATATGATATGTAATTAAGAAAAATACAATTTGATGATAATTTGCACAAATGCTCAAACCGCAACATATTCCATGACTCCACCGCCGCCGGAAATATAAATACTAAGCGCTTAGTAGTGTCTCACAACATAATTACATTTCTTTTTATACATTGTAGATGCAGATCAAATAAACACAACATTTTACATCATTCGCCACCCTCTTAGTACAATTTCCCGCACATACATTGGGATAAACAGCAAAGTCGCTAATCAATTCGTTTTAGATTCGTTATTTAAGAGTTACGAGAGGAAACTTGTTTGAATTTCTTTGATTATTGGCATTATCTTTGATTATAGCTGCCATGTTTGATCAATTTCATCTGTTTCACACAAAATATGTGGGTGTATGTGTTTGTGTGATTGGAGACTAGGTTTCGTTTAGCTTATTATACTTTTAGAACATTGTTCGTTACAATTAATTAATATTTTCGTATTAATTACGAGTGTGGTGTTGATTCGTTGTTGCGATGTTTCAGTCCGCGGTTGTTTGCCTACGCGTCGTTGGGCGCCGGCTCGTCGTCTAGGAACTCGACGTGCGTGAAAGGAAAATGGCCGGTCTTGCCGTTCACCTCGCCTTCCCATTGGCCGTTGATGTTGGTTTTGTGTACGAGGATGATATCGCCTAGTTCGAGCTTCAGTGCGGTTTCATCGTATGCATTTGGTACGCGCGCTTGTTTTACGCGTGCTCGCGCAGGTAATTGTCGTTGATATTTATGCTAAAATTAAATTAAACGCATTATAACCACAAATATTAAAACATTTAAACAGTGTCTAACCTGAATTTGATATTTTTTATTAGCGGCATCATTGTTGTGTGGCGGTGGCATGGCTTGTGCAATTGGTCCACCAGAACCCGGCCGTGGAAGATCCATCATTATTTGTCCGTCTTCCAGCTAAACATTTAAAAACAACAAGCTATTCACAAACACATTTCTACATATAAATATTACAATCACATGCAAACCAAACAAACAAAAACACTATTTTAGGTTAGATTTGGGTGCTACTAATGCATAGGTTTGGTTATGTTCATTTGTATTGCATAGTTGTGTGTTTCGTGCATAGTAATTACAATCAATTCAATACTTTTTGAACATAAGGTACAGGAATCGATCCTTTCTCCCCGTTTCCGTTGACTGCCGTCCACCATTGCTCCTCATCTTTGGAGATTATAGTCAGGATGTCACCCTTCTTAAAACGCAAATCATCTTGATCCTAAAATATAAATATAAAATGTAAACATAGTGTTAAAATAGCAAAATTGTGTTTAATACGTACTTGTCCATCAAAATCGTACCTCGCGATCACTCTTTCGACCTTTTTCTTGGCTGGCCGAATTAATGGCACCGTATCCAGATAATGAAGTTTGTAGAACGCCAGTAAATTCGGCAGATCGGTAAAGGCTTGATCACCGATTCGATAGCAGACATCCTCTGTGTGGTGCGTTTTATTTATAATGTAATGACTAACTTTACTATCTTCTCTATAAAAACAAAACAATAAACAATGATTAACTGACTGTAAAGTTTAATTTTGGGATATTTATAGCTTGAAAATTACTACATTATAACTTTTAACCAGTCAAATACAGTTGATTATATCACATTTTTAAGTGTTTGTAGATATAAATAACAAAGATAAGCAATTTATTACTAAAATTTCAACATCTATTTGTATTTTCAAGATGTTTGCACATGATTCAACGCATGTGCAATAACTCCGGCTGCTGATTGGCTTAGTGTCAATTGTCATTTTATAACGAATCATATACATTTGTGGATGTTTTGTGTTCCATAAACTTTTTGATATATATAAGCTACTCAATCAACACAATGATAACATCCTTTTTATATGAATGATCATAAATTTCCTGTATATTTGGTTGCTGACAATTATCACAGCATCCAAACACAAAATTGCAGTAAATTTTACTTACTTTACACATAATACATAATCTCCTACACTTGTAGCACTGTCTCTAATAAGGAAGACACCACTCTCCTTCTCTGCTTGCAAAATATCTGTTGCATCCCTTCTGGTAATGGACCCAAAGTACCAACTAAAAATCCAATCAAATTATTGCAATTCCCTTGGCTAAAACAGATGAAAAATATGCCATACCTGTTTCTATCATTATGATCAAAACTTGTTGCCATCTTTGCTAGAATCTAACCCACTTGTTAAACGTTTAATTATTACACAAATACACTCACAACGTGCCCGACAGCGTCTTTCACTCGTTGGTAAATTAAGTAATTGTATTAATTAACCGTTGGACGCTCGAAACCCCGACTCGATTTTGTTTCCACTCGAGTCGTTCGTTACACATACGCAGTTTTTTAAGGTTATATCTGCTACACACATCCAAAGCGCGTATTTTATCAAATAATTGATTAGGATATCCCCGACCACGGTTAAGTATACACCGTGCGAATACAGGCAGCGGTTTTCGGTAATTAGGAAAACACGGTCAGCGCATTCTGGAAGGTTCCGCGCCGCTGTTTGGCCGAAAACAATTGCAATCGACGATCACCATACAGACACACACACACGCAACACGATTGATTATGTTTAATTTAAATTAATTTATATGGAACTGGAAGACTCGAGAGGCGCGTGCTTCATCGCTGCTCTGACATGCGATGTGTTTTCACAATTCACATATTAGATTTCGCTGCGTTTAGTTTCGCGTCGCGTTACCGGATGCGATGTTTGCTTTCGTATTTATTTATAGTTCGCGTAAAAATCGCGTTTTACGATCCTGCAGGAACAATACCGGATTTTCGCACTGCGCACGACCTGTTTCCGCTTTCCCAGTGTGTTTTTCCCATCAAATCATCCGCGCTGCCATTGAAGCGAAAGAACAATCGATCTGCGCGCGAGATCGAACGGGTTCGATTGAGGACGTCCAGTTATCGGACAGCGAAGGTTTTTGATCGCGTCCGAACCCGAAGGCGTTTCGCACACAACTGACACATACAAACAAGAAAAACGCTTGGCGCTAGTTCAAGTCGCGGATAACAATTGACGACGAGCGGTTTGTTTGGTTTACAATGTACAATGTCAAGTGCATTTTGTGTGTGCGGTATTTTTACGCGTTGCGATAACGTTAGTTACGGTGGTTTCCAACTTTTACTGCGGTTGAGGAAATTATTAAAATTTATCAAATTGAAACAAACACGACACATACACGCATGTCATGCAACCACTAACAAAAAATGACAGCGGCGCAGCCCTAAATACTACGCATGTGCGTACTAATCCAAAATTTATTACTTTATTTATTAATTTAAAGAAAACAGTTCTTACCAGGTCATTGTATCGTTAAATATTGTTATTCTGAGTATCCCCACATATAAATTTACTGTTCAACTACTTTTTAAACATATTTTACGCTTAAATTTATCAGAAAATGAATTCGACCCTGCGCACGGCCATCTTGCATATGCGCAGTTTGCAACACGAAGTTCTACGACGCTTGACGAACGCAGAATAACATTCAAAATGGACGTTTGAATAAAAAATACATTCAAATTAAAAATAACATACAAGAAACATAAAATACTATTGTAAACATTTATATTATCACCGTATCACTTAAGTGATGTTCATTTTAACATCTACCTCTCCATCATATCCATTATCAGCAATGTTGTGTAAAAACTTAACATAATCTTCAGGTAAATTAGACTCGACAGCGCCGCGCCTGATAAGATTCAAGTACACCGCTGAAGGTTTGCGATCGTCTGGGAGATTAGCAAGATTATCACAAGCTGGGGGATTGTTGCACTGTTGATAAACACGACACTTGGTGAATGCACCTTCGAGCGTCTCCACGTCAACTTCCAATGGGAAATAGACGTTATCATGAACTCCCTCTTGACTAGAAGTGTTTATTAGTCTTTCTATCAATTATAAATATGATTTTACTCGTACTTATCTAAAGACGGAATGTGCTCGTTGTCGATTTCATAAATAGCGCCCCAGACATAAGCGCCCTCTTTGGGCACAATTGTTGCTGCGGCCCCTTTCCATCTCTTTGAGTAGTAATTAAAATCGAGCTGAAAATCCTAACACAGCGTCAAATACTCGTAATGTGATTACATAAGAAGGTACTTACTTTTAATTTACCACATCCGCGTTTAACAGCCGACGGATTCTGAACGTGCAGGCGTTTTGTCAGCAGATTGCTGCCGTACGCAAAGTACATGAACGTTTTGGACATATTGATTTTCTTGACACTGACTTTTTTGATATGTATCTGATTCTATTAATCATGCGATAATGATTAATCAAGCCGCGCCCGCCGACTGCGGGTTATTGGACTCTGCTATTACTTATAGGTTAACAATTAAAAATGGAAAATTACCATGACTATAACATACTCGCGGTATATGTAAACAAATACGTGTTCTATTGTAATGTTGGTTGCCTATATCAAAACATAAACTTTTGTATTTTATAAGTTTTTTGTTTAAAAATCAAAATATTGCTTTATTTTATTGTTTTAAAATTAAAAACGAACATTTGAGAAGTATTTAGTGGGTTTAAACATGTGCCATATAAAAAACAACATTTCAGTAGTTAAAATTCATAATTTAACGTCTTTCAACGCCTAAACCTGTAAAACAAACAAATTTTTCATCAAATATCAATCAATCGTTCAATTTTATTGTATTTAGTCACTCTGACCAGTGTACAACATTAGTAAACTCGGTTTTATTTAATTACTAGTCGTGGTTGATTCACAATCGTCAAATTATTATTGTAAATTCATATAGATTACAAACTAAATAAATTCTTGCTCAGTCAAACATATCCAACGCATCACATGATCGGGATTTAATTGCCCTGTTAATGAAACACTTGATTAATCTAAGAAATCACCAAACATGTGTCATTTTAAGCAAAAAGCGAAGCAAATCAAGCAAAAAGTGTCGCAGAAATCCATGGAAATTAGAGAAATGTAAACATAACCTAATATAATTACCCCTGAACATAGTTCAACGTCAAAATTGACTTCAATTCAACCTACACCAAAGCTAAACATTAGAAAACGTTAGAAAAAGTAAAGTAGCTGCGGAAAAAGCAAAGAAGCAAAGCGAATTCAGACAGATTCTGACCTTCTTTGGTAGTTGTTCCTCCTCGCGATTTCCAGCACCACATCGCCACTCTTGATGTTCTTAAACATCACAATCGCTTGATTGTGGGTTATATTATCAAGAGGTGCATCGTTTATCGATAAAATTTCATCTCCTGAACATAAAAACAGAAAATAATTACAAAATTCCATAGAAAACAATAAATTAACAATTAAACAATACCTTCTTGTAATATTGCTGATTCAGCAGCTTGTCCCTGCGGGAAAATAGTTTTGATGAAGATCCCCATCGGTCCACGAGGTGAATCAATCCCTCCAACAATAGAAAACCCTAAAGATTTCATCCCGGGACCTTTTCTGAATGTCGCAGAGTAAACCTGCTGAGTTTTACGTGCTGCAGGGATTGGTACAGCAATACTACACCTCCTACTTCCGTAGTTCTCCAAATTCGAACAGGAGAACTTCCGCATTCCGGTGAGTTTCTTCGGACTGGCGGGAATTTTAAAATTTCCATTATTCCCATTACCTAATTGACTTGCTGATGACGAATGCGGTGATCTTACAGTGGGCACTTTAAAATTATTCGATTTTGTCGACGTTGCATAACCATCTGTGAAAGTCACCCGTGTCTCGACGCCATTTTGATTACTTTGATGTGGAATATTGTGGTTATGACTAGTTTTTGTAACCGGACTGATTACAGGATTACTCGGGTGTTTATTCAGGGAGTATTTATGACTTGGACTGGTTTTTCGGACGTGCGGGACGTATTCTTGGAAGTCGGACACATTGGCAGTGTATTTTGAATACGAAGGTGAGTAGGGTTGAGCAAAACGGTTGCCGAACGTGTCCGAAACAGTCGAGACTTTTCTTTCGCTTGGTTTGAAGCGACTTATTACAATCTCCAGTTCGCCATTTTGTGCACGCAGTGAGGAAACTGCTTGGTCCAGGGTGGAGCCCCGCAGACGTGTGCCGTTTACTTTTACTACTTCATCGCCAATGAAAATATTTCCATTTCTAGAATTAAAACAAAAAAATGTGTTTAATATAGGCAACCATATATACATGAATATTTAATGTAGGCTATGTTTTGTATTGTACCTTTCTGCAGCTGAAGCAGGAATTATCTCACTTACAACGTAAGATTTTAAATAATCCGCTGGGTTTTTCACTTGAATTTCGATTCCTATCACTTCGGATGAATCCAAACGTAGTCTGACGCATTTATATTCTTTTTCGAGGATAGGTGTGCGTTTCTCAGGAGATAAAACTTGATTTTCCGGTTTTAAACTAAGCTGGTCTAATTTTTCGGTGAAAGTATGACTTAATTCAGTATAACTTAACTTTTTTTCTTCTAAAAAAAAACATAAAACATATATTTTATGACAAAATGGCGGCCATTTTACTAACCTTGCATTTCTTTCTCTTTGGCTTCCTTCATAAAATCCCTATTCACATGTTTTTCAACATTCGCAGGTGAATACTCTTTACTATTCCCAAAAATCTTCGACGCTTTCTTCCTTGATAACAAAGTATCAAAATCTCCACTCGTTGATCTCGGCCTCTTCGGTGTCGTACCGGAACCTCTATGCACCGCCATTCGTTGCATCTTCAACGTGGAATGATGATCCTCGTCGTCGTCGTCTTCGGCTGTATCAGTATCGTCTTCGTAAGTGTTAAATCTCTTCGGAGTCGTTGATAATGTCGCCTGTGCGGGTGTCTGCTGTCCATTGGTCATATTCGTATCGTTCGTTATGGTAATGTCATTAGTATCAATCGGAGTGTTAATATTTGCAGTGCAATTAGCTTCTTCTCTCATATCCGGACTGTGCTCGGAAAGTTCAGATTTTATCGAACCTCGCGGTGAATCCAAGCCGGTTCGAGTCGAATCACTTCCATAACCACTTTCATCGCTTTTAATCAACAGAGAATTCAAAACTGAAGATATTTCTGTGTTAGAAAGACTTTTTCGTGATTGTTTTATTAATTCTGAAAGACTTGTAACACTGGTTGCAGAATTTCGTTTGTAATCACCTTCATCGTCTGATTTTGAAGAAGATCGCATGAACATATTACGTACACCTCGGAATTTTTTGCCTAATCGAGGAGTACCTTTCTGTGCATCTTGCAGAATCGAAAAAGCTTTCGATTTGGACATTTTTTTATCACGACTTTCGCGTTCCCGCAACTCTTTATCTTGTTCATGATTTAAATCTGATAACATATCGATTAATTCTTGTTTATTCGGTTTAATTATCGATAAATAATTCAGAAGTTGTTCTTCAGTCAATGCTAGATTATCCGCGGTGGATCTAAACTTTTTCTTGTGTCGTAACGTGCGTTTTCCAGATTCTTTCGCGAAAAATTTACATTGTGAGCCTTCATTATCCGTTTCTGTGTCTGAAAATTTATCTCCAACACGTTGGATTAGATTTCGTAAAGATTCTACTCTTGAAATGCGTTTTTCTTGCACCACAGGTGATACTGGATTACTTGTTGGTGTTTGTGTGTATTGTTTTCTTCTCGTTGGTGTGTTTGTTAATAATTCCGAAGAGTCTGCACGTTTGAGTTTGTCCCATTTCTCACCGACGCGTTTACTCCATGTTGCACGACCTGGAAGTTTTATTATAGGCAACCCAATATGCACTTAAAATGTGTCTTACTAGATTTTGGTGATGCATCCCTGGAATGAACCGGAGTGATTTGTGAGGTTATCACTGGTGCCGGATGCGTGGGTTGGGCATTTTGTGTCTGGTCTTCGTATCCGTCGGTGAGGGGTGATAAACTCACTAATTGGGGGTTGGGGTCGGAGCATCGTCGTCGAAATAATCGCATCATTTCATTGAGAGTCGTTTTAAACGTTAGTTTCTGTAAAATAAGGTTTTTATTGCTCAATTTTTAATATTGCAATTGTAAAATATGAAATTTATTATATACTAGCATTTGCCCGCGACTTCATCCCGGTAGTGTTTAATACAAATGTAATTTGTTTTTACTTTCTTTTTCTAGACATGTATGTGTAAACTCTATCAATAAGATTCGCAAATTTATTTTAAAGAAATAAATTATATAAAGAATTGCTATTAATGCACTTCAGCGCGCCATCTAGGATTCAACTATTTAACTATAACTATGATTGAATCTCAATGCCAACTTTTATCCTATAGAAAAGAGCTGTCTTTAGTGTTTTCCCGGCAATTATTCAAAATTTTCTCGCCGTAAAAAACGATCCTTGGACTTTAACGAATATTTAAAACAAAGAATTGGTCAAATTGGTTCAGGCGTTGTTGAGTTATGCGCTTTCCAACAGATTTTTCATTTTAAAATTATAGATTACTTCATTTTTATGTTTTGATAGTTTGTTTATAATATAATTTCATTATAAACTGCTTTATTAGTAATATTCTAGTGAAATTGAACGTAAATATCATAAATCTGTGTTTATTTGCAATAAATTAATTGTATACATTCTAATACTGTTTAGAAAGGATGAATTAATGATGGAAAACCGCCGGAATGCCAATTGCATTCAAAGAGCAGGTTGGTTTTCTTACAGAAGGCAGCAAACGCAATAGATTCGTGAGTTATGATCACATGCAAGGCGATCATTAAACGCGACGCGCCGCTTGGCGTTTGCTGGTTTCCTTGAACCAATAAACACACCAATTACCCATTACTATTTACCATGACTAGTGCCCACTTGATTATTTCTTATTGCGGCCTGCGCGGTGAGAAAATTGCATTCGTTATTAGGACATATTGAGTATCAGCAATTTATTGAAATCATTATATTGCACCTGTGGTGAGATTACAACGGGAGATACTTTAAAATAACATAAAAATTAAATTCAACAAAATGGCGGATGTAGAATTGCATTGATCGTGGCGTTCCGTTAGAAAAAACGCCAATCTGCATGTGTATACTTTACAAGAATGTTTAACAAAGGTAAACAACTACAATCCGAATACCTAAATCGAAATTTGCATGAATAAATGAACACGTACGGAGTTGTACGACAAAGTCGACAATGTGTCAATGCGACGAAGCGTGGTCGTTCCATTACTGATTCAGGGAGACTCGCTGTGGACAGGAAAAAGATTCGTTCGTATTCACGTATTCAAAGTTTGACTTATATATACCGAATGTATCAATAAAAACAATAAAAACAAAAAATAAAAATAAAAATTTGTATTGTATGCAACCAGTCATGAATCAGAACACAACTGGTTGCCTATAATAACTTATTTACATAAAAAAAAACAAAAAAATAATAAATTTTACTAAACAAATACTCAAAA